ATGGGAAAAAATGGAGAAAAAAGGGGGAAAAAGTTGAGGAAATGTGGGAAAAGGGAGGAAAAGAAGGAAAAATGGGAAAAAAGGTTGAGGAAATGTGGGAAAGGGGGAAAAAGGAAAAGGAAGAAGTGGGAGGAAAAGGAAGAAAAAATGGGGAAGAAATGAGAATAAAAGGTTGAGGAAAAGCGGGAAAAATGGGGAAAAAAGTTGTGGAAAAGGAGGAAAAAGAAGAAAAATGAGGAAAAATGGGGAAAAAAGAGGAGGAAAAGGGAAAGGAGGGGAGAAAATGGGGAAAAAAGGAGGAAGAGGGGAAAAGGAAAAGGGAGAAAATAAGGAAAAAAGGAGGAAAGAGAAAAGAAAGGGGAAAAGAGGAAAAAATAGGGAAGAGGGTGGAAAATTGGGAAAAAGGAAAAGTGGAGGAAAACTGGGAAAAAGAGGAGGAAAAAGGGGAAAAGAGAAAAGGAAGAAAGGGAAAATGAGGAAAATTGGGAAAAGGGGGAAAAATGGGGAAAAGAGGAGGAAAAGGGAAAAACTGGGAAAAAGGAAAAGAGGAAAACGGAAAAAGGAGGAAAAAAGGGGAAAAGAAAATGGAAAAGAGGAAAAGTAGGGAAGGAGGAAAAATGGGAAAAAAGGAGGAAAAAGGAAGAAAAATGGGAAAAGAGAAGGAAAAGAGAGGAGAACTGGGAAAAAAGGAGGGAAAAAGGAGGAAAAAAGGGGAAAAGAGAGACAAGGAGGAAAAGGAAAAGGAGGAAAATTGGGAAAAGGGAGGAAAATGGGAAAGAAAAGGAGGAAAAGGGGAAAAATATTGGGAAAAAGGAGGAAAAAAAGGCCCAAAACCCCCAAAAACCAGGGAAAAAACCTCGGTGCAAACCCCCATCCCCCCTCTTCCCAAAAAACCCCCGGATCCCCCATTTTCCATTGGCGTTCCGAACGTTCCGGCGGCGACGGCGGCGGGGGCGGGGCTGGATATCAAAATTCCCATAAAAATAGATCCTATATAATAATTTTCTCTGTTTTTTTTTTTTTTCTGTTTGTTTCGTGTCCATCTTCCCGAGTTTTGTAAATTTATTTATATATTTTTTTTTTTTTTTTTTTTTTTTTTGGGAATTCCCGACGTTTTCCCGGGGATTTTATTCCGTCAGCAGCTGCTGCAGGAGGCTCTTCCCTTGTCCCGGCGGAGGCGGCGGAGCGGGATTTTTGGGATTGGCCAACGGAGCCGGCGGGTTGAGGTAGGGATCTCCCACCAAATTCACCGTGCACTGGACGTCGGCGAACACCTGGACCTGCTGGACCTGGGAGGAATTCCCAAAAAAAAAAAAAAAAAGGAAAAACAGGAAAAAAAAAAAGAAAAAAAAAAAAAAAAAAAAAAAAAAAAGGAAAAACAGGAAAAAAAAAAAGAAAAAAAAAAAAAACAAAAAAAAAAAAACGGGATTTAGCGGATCCGGGGAAGGGGCGGAAGCGGGATCTGGGAACTACGTGAAGCGGGAAACTCACTAGAGAACTTCTCCTCTAGTCTGGAGCCAGCCCAGAGAAGAATTCTTCGGTCTTCACGTCCTACAAAAAGAAAAGCGCTGCGGCTCAGTCGGCTCCGGGAAAAAAAAAAAATTTGGGATAACGGCGGAAAAACGGCTCCCGACGGAGCTGGGATGGGGTTTGGAGGCATCTCAAGGGGTTTGAGGAAAGGGGTGGAGGTGGAGCCATCCCGGATTTTCATGGATTGGGAAAGTTCCTGGTGGATGTCGAGTGTTGATCCAGGAAAAAAATTTGGGATTATGGTGGAAAACCGGTTCAGGATGGAGTTTGGATGGGGTTTGGAGGCATCTCAAGGGCTTTGAGGAGCAGGGTTGGACGTGGGGTGGGTGGAACTGGAGCCATCCCGGATTTTTGTGCATTGGGAGGCTCCTGGTGGATGCCAGGTGTTGATCCAGGAAAAAAAATGGGATTATGGTGGAAAAAGCAGCTCCAAATGAAGTTTGGATTTGGGCTTGGAGGCATCTCAAGGGCTTTGAGGAGCAGGGTTGGACGTGGGGTGGGTGGAACTGGAGCCATCCCGGATTTTTGTGCATGGGGAGGTTCCTGGTGGATGCCGGGCGCTTGATCCAGGACAAAAATTTGGGATTATGGTGGAAAAATGGCTCTGAAGAAATCTGGGATTGGGTCTGGAGGCATCTCAAGGGCTTGGAGGAGCAGGTTGGACATGGGGGGGAGCTGGAGCCATCCTGGATTTCCATGGATTAGGAGGTTCCTGGTGGATGCCGGGCGCTGATCCCGGAAAAAAATTTGGGATTATGGTAGAAAAATGTCTCCAAATGAAGGTTGGATTTGGGTTTGGAGGCATCTCAAGGGCTTGGAGGAGCAGGTTGGACATGGGGGGGAGCTGGAGCCATCCTGGATTTCCATGGATTAGGAGGTTCCTGGTGGATGCCGGGCGCTGATCACGGAAAAAAATTTGGGATTATGGTGGAAAAATGTCTCCAAATGAAGTTTGGATTTGGGTTTGGAGGCATCTCAAGGGCTTTGAGGAACAGGTTGGACATGGGGTGGAGCTGGAGCCATCCTGGATTTCCATGGATTAGGAGGTTCCTGGTAAATGCCGGGCGCTGATCCAGGAAAAAAATTGGGAATTATGGTGGGAAAACGGCTCTGGATGGAGTTTGGACGGGGTTTGGAGGCATCTCAAGGGCTTTGAGGAGCAGGGTAGGACATGGGGTGGGTGGAACTGGAGCCATCCTGGGTTTTTGTGCATTGGGAGGCTCCTGGGGGATATCAGAGGTTGATCCAGGAAAAAAACCTGGGATTATGGTGGAAAAACAGCTCTGAAGAAATCTGGGATGGGGTTTGGAGGCATCTCGAGGGCTTTGAGGCGCAGGGTGGGACGTGGGGTGGGTGGAACTGGAGCCATCCTGGGTTTTTGTGCATTGGGAGGCTCCTGGGGGATATCAGAGGTTGATCCAGGAAAAAAACCTGGGATTATGGTGGAAAAACAGCTCTGAAGAAATCTGGGATGGGGTTTGGAGGCATCTCGAGGGCTTTGAGGCGCAGGGTGGGACGTGGGGTGGGTGGAACTGGAGCCATCCTGGGTTTTTGTGCATTGGGAGGCTCCTGGGGGATATCAGAGGTTGATCCAGGAAAAAAACCTGGGATTATGGTGGAAAAACAGCTCTGAAGAAATCTGGGATGGGGTTTGGAGGCATCTCGAGGGCTTTGAGGCGCAGGGTGGGACGTGGGGTGGGTGGAACTGGAGCCATCCTGGGTTTTTGTGCATTGGGAGGCTCCTGGGGGATATCAGAGGTTGATCCAGGAAAAAAACCTGGGATTATGGTGGAAAAACAGCTCTGAAGAAATCTGGGATGGGGTTTGGAGGCATCTCGAGGGCTTTGAGGCGCAGGGTGGGACGTGGGGTGGGTGGAACTGGAGCCATCCTGGGTTTTTGTGCATTGGGAGGCTCCTGGGGGATATCAGAGGTTGATCCAGGAAAAAAACCTGGGATTATGGTGGAAAAACAGCTCTGAAGAAATCTGGGATGGGGTTTGGAGGCATCTCGAGGGCTTTGAGGCGCAGGGTGGGACGTGGGGTGGGTGGAACTGGAGCCATCCTGGGTTTTTGTGCATTGGGAGGCTCCTGGGGGATATCAGAGGTTGATCCAGGAAAAAAACCTGGGATTATGGTGGAAAAACAGCTCTGAAGAAATCTGGGATGGGGTTTGGAGGCATCTCGAGGGCTTTGAGGCGCAGGGTGGGACGTGGGGTGGGTGGAACTGGAGCCATCCTGGGTTTTTGTGCATTGGGAGGCTCCTGGGGGATATCAGAGGTTGATCCAGGAAAAAAACCTGGGATTATGGTGGAAAAACAGCTCTGAAGAAATCTGGGATGGGGTTTGGAGGCATCTCGAGGGCTTTGAGGCGCAGGGTGGGACGTGGGGTGGGTGGAACTGGAGCCATCCTGGGTTTTTGTGCATTGGGAGGCTCCTGGGGGATATCAGAGGTTGATCCAGGAAAAAAACCTGGGATTATGGTGGAAAAACAGCTCTGAAGAAATCTGGGATGGGGTTTGGAGGCATCTCGAGGGCTTTGAGGCGCAGGGTGGGACGTGGGGTGGGTGGAACTGGAGCCATCCTGGGTTTTTGTGCATTGGGAGGCTCCTGGGGGATATCAGAGGTTGATCCAGGAAAAAAACCTGGGATTATGGTGGAAAAACAGCTCTGAAGAAATCTGGGATGGGGTTTGGAGGCATCTCGAGGGCTTTGAGGCGCAGGGTGGGACGTGGGGTGGGTGGAACTGGAGCCATCCTGGGTTTTTGTGCATTGGGAGGCTCCTGGGGGATATCAGAGGTTGATCCAGGAAAAAAACCTGGGATTATGGTGGAAAAACAGCTCTGAAGAAATCTGGGATGGGGTTTGGAGGCATCTCGAGGGCTTTGAGGCGCAGGGTGGGACGTGGGGTGGGTGGAACTGGAGCCATCCTGGGTTTTTGTGCATTGGGAGGCTCCTGGGGGATATCAGAGGTTGATCCAGGAAAAAAACCTGGGATTATGGTGGAAAAACAGCTCTGAAGAAATCTGGGATGGGGTTTGGAGGCATCTCGAGGGCTTTGAGGCGCAGGGTGGGACGTGGGGTGGGTGGAACTGGAGCCATCCTGGGTTTTTGTGCATTGGGAGGCTCCTGGGGGATATCAGAGGTTGATCCAGGAAAAAAACCTGGGATTATGGTGGAAAAACAGCTCTGAAGAAATCTGGGATGGGGTTTGGAGGCATCTCGAGGGCTTTGAGGCGCAGGGTGGGACGTGGGGTGGGTGGAACTGGAGCCATCCTGGGTTTTTGTGCATTGGGAGGCTCCTGGGGGATATCAGAGGTTGATCCAGGAAAAAAACCTGGGATTATGGTGGAAAAACAGCTCTGAAGAAATCTGGGATGGGGTTTGGAGGCATCTCGAGGGCTTTGAGGCGCAGGGTGGGACGTGGGGTGGGTGGAACTGGAGCCATCCTGGGTTTTTGTGCATTGGGAGGCTCCTGGGGGATATCAGAGGTTGATCCAGGAAAAAAACCTGGGATTATGGTGGAAAAACAGCTCTGAAGAAATCTGGGATGGGGTTTGGAGGCATCTCGAGGGCTTTGAGGCGCAGGGTGGGACGTGGGGTGGGTGGAACTGGAGCCATCCTGGGTTTTTGTGCATTGGGAGGCTCCTGGGGGATATCAGAGGTTGATCCAGGAAAAAAACCTGGGATTATGGTGGAAAAACAGCTCTGAAGAAATCTGGGATGGGGTTTGGAGGCATCTCGAGGGCTTTGAGGCGCAGGGTGGGACGTGGGGTGGGTGGAACTGGAGCCATCCTGGGTTTTTGTGCATTGGGAGGCTCCTGGGGGATATCAGAGGTTGATCCAGGAAAAAAACCTGGGATTATGGTGGAAAAACAGCTCTGAAGAAATCTGGGATGGGGTTTGGAGGCATCTCGAGGGCTTTGAGGCGCAGGGTGGGACGTGGGGTGGGTGGAACTGGAGCCATCCTGGGTTTTTGTGCATTGGGAGGCTCCTGGGGGATATCAGAGGTTGATCCAGGAAAAAAACCTGGGATTATGGTGGAAAAACAGCTCTGAAGAAATCTGGGATGGGGTTTGGAGGCATCTCGAGGGCTTTGAGGCGCAGGGTGGGACGTGGGGTGGGTGGAACTGGAGCCATCCTGGGTTTTTGTGCATTGGGAGGCTCCTGGGGGATATCAGAGGTTGATCCAGGAAAAAAACCTGGGATTATGGTGGAAAAACAGCTCTGAAGAAATCTGGGATGGGGTTTGGAGGCATCTCGAGGGCTTTGAGGCGCAGGGTGGGACGTGGGGTGGGTGGAACTGGAGCCATCCTGGGTTTTTGTGCATTGGGAGGCTCCTGGGGGATATCAGAGGTTGATCCAGGAAAAAAACCTGGGATTATGGTGGAAAAACAGCTCTGAAGAAATCTGGGATGGGGTTTGGAGGCATCTCGAGGGCTTTGAGGCGCAGGGTGGGACGTGGGGTGGGTGGAACTGGAGCCATCCTGGGTTTTTGTGCATTGGGAGGCTCCTGGTGGATATCAGATGTTGATCCAGGAAAAAAACCTGGGATTATGGTGGAAAAACAGCTCTGAAGAAATCTGGGATGGGGTTTGGAGGCATCTCAAGGGCTTTGAGGAATGGGGTGGAGCTGGAGCCATCCCGGATTTTCATGGATGGTGAAGTTTCTGGTGGATTCCAGGTGCTGATCCAGGAAAAAAACTGGGATTACAGCGGAAAAACATCTCCAGAATGGAGCTGGGATGGGGTTTGGAGGCAT